CTCTCTAAGACACACTTCCCCGCTCCTAAAAAGTAAGGGGAAATGTGTGTGCGCCTTATGGAGCGAATGCAGGCTGCGCAGCTATCGCTGCACTCAGGAGGCTTTGCGTTGCTTTCGCTGAAGCCAGGAGAGCAAGAGGGATTGCTGCTTTCGCTGTGAGGTGATCCCTCTTGCTGTTCTGACTTTGCTTCGCTGGAGAGGTGCTGCGCAGCTTTCCCTCTCTGCGCAGCGCCTCTTCGGCGAAGCGGGAGGAGAAACAGAGCCCCTTCTGTTTCTCCTCCCGCTTTGCTGGAGAGGCACTGTGCAGAGAGGGAGAGAATATTTTTTTTCTTGTTCTCTTCCTCTAAAACTAGGTGCGTCTTATGGTCGGGCGCGTCTTATAGAGCGCAAAATACGGTATATACATTTTGTTAAATAACAAGCAAGCAAGCAAGTACTCTGCTATACATAGAGTCAGTTTTCTGGTGTAGTGTATGTGTGTGGCTATGTTAGTGTGTTATAGCAAATAATAAACAGAGTCTCATGACACCAAAGACAGATTAATTGTGGTGTAGCCTTGGCAGGAATGGAGCCCAGATTATCAGATACATGAAGCCTGATTACGCAGGGTCAAGTCCACTGATACATCTGCCAGAATATATACAGTGGTACCTCGGGTTACAGACGCTTTGGGTTACAAACTCTGCTAACCAAGAAGTGGTTGCTCCAGGTTAAGAACTTTGCCCCAGGATAAGAACGGAAATCGCGCGCCAGCAGGGCAGCGGCAACAGGAGGCCCCATTAGCGAAAGCACGCCTCAGGTTAAGAACTGTTTCAGGTTAAGAACAGACCTCTGGAACAAATTACGTTCTTAACCCAAGGTTAGTCCAGCCCCCTCCCCACCTGGTAGAGTCAACACGTTTTGCACTACAGCTTCCATCAGCCCCAGTCAGCATAGCCATGGCTGATGGGAATTATAGTCCAAAACATCTGGAGAACTCCAGGTTGGGAGATGCTGTGTTCAAGACTCAGGTATGTATGTTCTCAAAATAGAATAAGTCAGAAGGGTACCAATGTTTATTTTATTTATTTTGAAAAATTATGTGCAGCTTAATTACAATCATCTCTAAGTGGTGTACAAAGAGATCACATAGATCAGGGCTGGGAAGCCAGTGAGTTGCAGGACTTCCACTCCTCAGCCAGCATGGCCAATGGTCAGGGATGATGAGAGCTACAGGTTCTCCTGACCCAGATCTACAGGAGCAGAAGCTGTCTGTGCAAGTGTCGGAGAGGCTCCCCAACAGGCAGAAATTCAACTTGTGCAGCTGTTCCCTGTTCAAGTTCTGCCTGTTACACTGCTGTTAAAAATGGCGCAGGAGCTCCAAACGCCTCATTGGAGCCTCAGCTCATCAATATTGCGTGGATCTATTGGGAAGAAGTTTTGTTTTTGTTTTTGTTTTAAAAAGCAACAAAACACAGGCATCAAACTGAGTTTTAGGAGACAGGAGGGAGGGAGGGGGGCCCCACCCCACCCACCACCTACTGCTCCCAGTGACAAGCTTACTTATTCTGAAGGGAACTCTGTCTGCGTTCTTTGAATCAGAGTAATGAAGACTTTGGGAAAGGGAGAAAAGTGTTATTTTGACTTGCATAATTCAGGATGTAACAAGAGCCTGTGGCAGTTGAGAGACTCAAAATACAGTTGTGCAGTTGCTACTGTTCTTCCAGGTATGTTAAATTAAGGTTGAAATATTCCTTAAAACCAGAAACAAATAAACCAACAAAAAACACCACCGTGATCTAGAAATGAAGTTTTCATTGGAGGCTTTATTTATTTATTTATTTACCTGTTTGGGAGGAGTAGAATTAAATGATCTTGCATTCCCAATTTTCTTACTTTTTTCCTTTGAAACGTTGAAGGCTTTGCAGCTACTTTGATCACTCCTCTTTCACAGAGTCTTTATGTCTCTGTGTTTATTTTTATTTTAGTTTTTGGAAGAGGGATGATATAAATCTCAAATACACTCATTTAATAACCACTTTTAAAATATCCTAGGCAGGGATCCTGTGCCTTTAAAATCTGTCTAGCAGCCTGGCGCAATGAAGGCAAAAGCTGCACTAGCTGGATTTCTGACTGCCGTGCAAAGAGGCCCAAGACCTCAGAAAGTCCCAAGGCAGTTTTTAGCGGCTTACGTCTGTGATTCTTTCTGCACTTAGCTGGGAATAAGTCCCATTGAACTAAGTGGGGCTTACTTCTGATTAAACATGCATCAGATTCCACTTTACACCATAACCTGTGGCCTTACAGGTGATACTGAACTACAACTCCCATCATTCCCAGCCATCAATGACTTGGGCTGATGGGAGGTGCAGTCCAGGACTAGAACAGAAGAAGAGCTTGGAACTTGCTTGAGGACTTGGTGCACTAGAGCAAAAGGATACTGTGGAGTCAGAAAAGGTTCAGAGAAGAACATTCACAATGATCAAGGGAGATGGAGCGCTTAGGATTTTTTTAGCTTACAGGAAAGGTGAGTGAGAGGTGACATGCATGGCATAGAGAAAGCAGATACAGAAAAGCTTTTCTCCCTCTCTCATGAGAACTGGACATTCAATGAAGTGGAACGTTGGAAGATTCAGGGCAGATAAAAGAAAGGACTTCTTAATGCAGCGCAGACGAGACTTGGTCCCTCAGGAGGCAGTGACGGTCACAAATCTTATGGCCACCACCAAATTCATGGGGGAGAAAGCTGTCAATGACTACTAGTCACCAGCTAATAATGCTTCTGAATATGAGCCAGGAGGGGGGAGTGGTCTTCTGCGCAGGTCCTCTTTAGAGGTTTCCTAGGCTAGAGGCATCTCATGGGCCCCTTTGAGAACAGCATGCTGGACTGATCCAACAGGCTCTTCTGACATAGCAGGAGAAGTGAATCAGATGAAAGGTCCATCAGGGCTGGGGAAACTTCCTTAGCTCTAGGGCACATTCCCTTGCGGCTAACCTTCCAGGTGTAGGCCACACTACCAGGGTTTTTTCCCCCAGCTGGAACTCAGCAGAACTCAGTTCTGGCACCTCTTAGGTGGGCGCCGTTGTCATTATAAGAGACCTCCGAGTACAGGGCAGTATATAAATTCAATAAATAAATAAAATAAATAAACAAGGGAGGTGCTCATGGTGAGTTCCAGCATCCCTTTTTCTAGAAAAATACCACTGCACACTACTCTTGGTGGGGTGGGAGGGAGAGGCAAATAGATGTGTCTCTTATCTTCATACTATACTCCAGAAACACCAGAGGTTTCTGCAGCCCCACATCACTCCATCCAGGAAGGAAAGGGGAATAATTTTAGGTAAAGGACTTAGATTTCAGCTACTACAGGAAGATGTGGAGCAAAGGCAGTGAGGGGTGAGCTTGGCATATGTGGCATTAGGGGAGACCCAAGGGCCTGAGAGAAAGGACTGGAGGGCGACATTCATCCCTCCCTCTGAGACTCTGGTTCCCAACCCCTGATTCATTACCCACATTAGCCAGTCAGATACCGCTAGAAAGTCCACAAAGAAGCTCCCCACTCACTGTTCAATTCCATAGAATTCAAGCTGCAATACTGTACTGCACCAGAAAACAAAAGTTGGGTGGACACTCCTTCATTGGAGGTTTTTAAATGGAGGTTGGATGGCCCTCTACCCAGGATGTATTAGCTGTAATTCCTGTATTGCAGTGGGGAGTGAGGGGTTGGCCTAGATGACCTTTGGGCTCCCTTCCAACTTTACAATTCTATGCACTAAAAGAACCAATGAAAATGCAATTAAAAAAAATCAATATTAGATGTGGATGTGCCATGGGCCACCTGAGCGAGGTCCACAGTTTGGGATCCCCTGCTACACCCCAGGGCTAGGGCTCCTGTGGTCTTCCAGACACCCTTGGACTGCACATCCCATCCCCACTGACCAGAAACAGTCCTTGGGCCACCTGGTTACAAGGCTTCGCTGAAGGAGGGCCCACCCAAGGCAGTCAATTCCACTGCCAAAAAAGTTTTCTTTTTAAATATTATTATTGCACAACATCGCAATTTGAATTCTATGTAATTCGGCAACTTGGGGGGAAAGGAAGCCTGTGGACTTCCCAGAGGTATCTGGTTGGCCGCTGGAGGAATTGTGTGATGTTAAACTGAATCGGTGGTTGGGATCTACAACCTCAGGGACCCCTCAGGGAGAGGGGTCAATACGGCCCTCCATACCTCTCTGTCAGGCCCTTGGAACTCCCCTAATGCAACACATATACACTCGTGCCAGGTTGAATTCCTTTCTGCACCCTGGAGTACTTTTGGCTAGCTGAAGTGTGGACTCCTTCTCCAGTTTTGGAGGTTCACTCCCTGACACCCCCAAGACTAAGAAGAAGCAGAGGGCAGGTGATGGGGAGGTGGTGGTGGTGGACTGGGTAGTTGGAGCAGGCAAGCTAGTCCTGGGAGCTGCAGGGGGACCGATGACCTGACTGGATCTGAGGAACCACCCCCTCCCCAGTCCTTAAAACGTTTTCGCTCAAAGGGCCCATGTCCTCGAAAGCAAAGACCAAACCAGAAGGGTCCAGAGGAGCCCAGATGCGCGACAAAAGCCCAACCAATCCAGAAGCCCAGGATCTCCTGTGGCGGGAGGGGGGGCGTTGGGAGGCGCAGGCAGCCCGGCAGCCCAGCGGGTTCGAGCCTTGCCTGGGCAGGGGCTGCGCGCGTCTACACGGGAGTAGAGGGGGTGGGAAGAGCGAGCGAGCGCGGGGTCCCCGTTAAAGCTCTCGCTAGCGCTGCTTGTGGTCACAGCCAAGCAAGCTCGTCTCCCATCTGGCTCAGCCTCGCTCCGCTCTGCCTCTCCCCGCCGCCCCCCCCCCCAGCATCATTCCCGTTCGCAGCCTCCTTCTTCTGCCCCCTCTCCGTCTCCCCCGCCCCGTCCTGCCGGCCCAGGGAGCCACCCTGGCCCAGCCGCCGCGGCCGCCCCCCCTGGCGCGCTCGCCGTCTCCGAAGCCGGGCCGGGAGGGGGCAGAGGCGGCGGCGGCAGCAGCAGCAGCAGCACCACCAGCGGCAGCCGCGCCAAGGCGAGGCGGCGCGATCGCCCAGCCAGAAACATGGAGTCCGCGCCGGCAGCCGCCGAGCCCGCAGCCGCCGCCGCCGCCGCCGAGCCGGGCTCCGAAGCCGCCGCGGCCACGGCCGGCGCTGCAGCCCGGGATCCCGCGGCCGGCGCGGAGCTGGCCCGGAAAGGAGAGGCGCCGCCGCCGCCGCCGCCTCCCAACCGCAGGCAGAGCTACTCGGGCAGCAGCAGCGGCGGCGGAGGAGGAGGTAGGAAAGCGGGGAAGGGGGAGGGGAGGGGGAGGGGGGGAGAGAGAAGCCCCCTCCGCCGGGATCCCCGCGGCCAGGGCCGGGGTCGACCCACGATTGCGTCTCCTTTCCGTCTTCAGATATGTATATAAGTATGTGTATATATATATGTGTGCGTGTGTGTATAGGCGTGTATGTACAGTATGTATATGTGTGCACATATATATATGTATATGTATATGTATATCTGGTTCGACATGCTACCTTGTAAACTTTTAATGGATTTTTTTTTAAAGAAAAGAAAAAGAAACCACAAGCCTTTGCTTCCATGACAAGCCCGGCCTTTTGGTGGGAGGAGACTCCGAAGGCCCGTTCACACGTTCCCCCTGCTTGGAATGTTTTTGTTTTCGGAACTGGCCTGCCTGAAAAGGCGCGCTTGCCTTTCTCAGCACGTGTCCCGGGCGAGGCGCGGGAGGCGAAGGGCCGGGCTCGTCTTTGCCGACGTGCACGTGTAGAGGCGAGGACGCGGGACTGGCCAGAGCCGCAAAAACATCGCCCCGCCGGAAAATAAAAGTCCCCAAATGCCATTTTGGGTCTGGGCTTTGGGGTGTGGGATTTATCTCCCGCAAGGCAAAGAGGGTTTCAGCCCCAAGTCAAGGAATCAAACACTCTGGATTGTCAGGTGCTTCTCCTTCTCCCTCTCTCCCCCACTCCTTTTTAAATATAGGTGTCTGTTTTGTTCCATTATTAAATGGTGGACAGAGTTTTGGAGGGGCGGGGCTGGCTTCTTGCCTGGTTTCTTCCTGAAGCGTGTTGATGGAAGCGTTCAGACGAGCTCGAGCAGCTCCGTGTTTGCACACTGGGGTGGTGCAGTTGTTTCCTTTGGAGTTGTTGCTGGCAGGTGGAGGCCGTTGACCTCTCCTTCCTGGATCTGGCAGGAGTCCTCTGCTCGCCTCTCCTTTTTGAACGTCCCGCGTTGCGCGCTTTTCTCACGGTCTGGAGGCGAGCGCAGGTCAGGTCCTCTTGACACGTGCAGGTCACGCGAAGTTCAGCGCCGGGCGGACGGCGGCTTCACCGTCGGGGAAACAAAAAAGACCTCGCGGTTGCTGATGGATGCGTGGGCGCGCGCGCGTTTAGCAACGCGGGTCTACCTGGCTTTTTTAGAGCAGGGAGGCGAGCGTCCCCCTTTTCTGCTTGGCGTGCCAACGGTTAAAGCCCAGAGGACTTCCAGAAACGTGGATTGGTGTGATCTGCTTTCTTTGTAAAACGAGGAAGGTGATGATGAAGGATTACCTCTCCTCTGTAAATAAAGTAGGCATGGTTGCTCGAGAGGAGAGATGCGGAACCGATTCACCAGGTTGTGAGAACGTAGCCATGCTCGCCTTGCTGTGCCAAGCTACAAGTTGGATTTAGCAAGCCCATAGCTAGAAGACTGTCTTCTGTCAGTGGGGGTTATTATTTTGGAGGCGGGGGGAGCTGTCGGCGCAGCACTGGAGACAGAGGATCTGGGCTTGGAGAGGGAAGGGGGCTTGCAAAGGCAGGCTAGTGCCCCTCTCTCGACGCTGCTCAAAATATGGCTGATCATGTGCGCTCCAATATTATTTGTTGTTGTTGTTTGTTCCTCCCAATTTAGGCCACGCCTTCCATTCCGAGCAGCTTCCTCCTTGGCTGGCGATCCCCGTACAGCGGGCGGGCGGGGGGGGGGGCGGAATAAAAGATGATAGACACCCCTTGAAATCAGGAGTGCGTGCGTGCGAGTGTGTGTGTGTGTGGGGGGCAATTTCCCGAGATTTTTTTAATGCAACTCTAGGGAGTGGAAGAAATGTGTATATTGTATTTGCAGTATGTATATATAGAGAGGCATTTTTTGGCATTTGCAAGGGACCTTGGGATGGTGGCTTCCACGAAAAGGAATGTAAAAGCTGGTTACATAACAACGTTAATCAGAAACACTGGCGAAAATGTGTCTGAGGAGAGCCAGTTTTTTTTGGGGGGGGGATGTTTACGAAGCGGCAGGACTTTTGCTGTTATACAACCTCCCTTTTCTTCTTTTTTTTCTGGCTCCATCCCTCCTTAACTTCCTCTGCTTTCAGATAGCTTAATCCCACCTTATTGTTTACCCTGGAATTTTCCTCCCCCTCCCCCTTCAAGAAGAGAGCGGGGAGTGAGAGTGAAATCTACAGTGTGCAGAAAATACTCCTTCACTCCTCTCTCTCTCTGCACATCTCTGTTTCCTTCCCAGCCAGAGCCATGCAAGTCTGTGGGAAATTATGTAACCAGAGTTGAAGTGTGTGTGTGCCTGTTATTATTGCCATAGAAATAAAAAAAGGCCTGGGAGAAGGAGTAGAAGGCGACCTCGACAGTTGATGGCGATGGCGACTTGTGCTCCATCCTTATCACGGTGATCTTAAACGGTTTAGGCTTTTGAAACTGCTAACCTGCTGACCCAAATGTGCAGTGATGCTGCTTTGCTCTCTTTCTCTATCCTCGTTGTCCCCCGCCCACCCCCAAACCAATTGTAGAGAGGATTAAATCAGGAGGGAAAGTGAAAATGTACACAGTCTCTGTGTGTGTGTCTCAGCACGCAAGCACTGCCCTTATGTAACAATCTGAATGGAAGTAACAGGGTGGGGGGGGGATACGTAAGTTAAGGGAACCGGCTGAGTTCAGGGGCGGGAGAGCATCCACCAAGGAAAGCCTTAGCTGAGGGTGGGGGGATGCAGTGGGCTTCCTTTGTGGATGGCAACACTGAGCAAAGCAGGAGTGTCTCTGCTTTTGCAGGAGTTCTGGCATCTATGCTCAGGAGAAGGGAAATGTTTGCAATGGCTGTTATGAAGATGATGATGATGATGTAATAATGGAGTTGGCAGAAAATAATATCTGCTTCCAGTGTGTAAAATGGTTGGAAAAGTGGAACTGGCATTTCCTTCTAGCATAACATCTGCAGCAGAGCTGGAAGCTCATTGACTCTCTGAGCAAAGGCTTTGTGGATGAATGCTGCAGCTGCCTGCCATTTGATATCCTTAGGGGTGTAGAGGAAGGGGAACCTGACTCGGGATTTATTCAAAGTGGGAGTGATGTCATCTGCCAGAGTGCTGGAATCATTGATGAAGTCTCCTTGCTCCACCAACTGAATGTAGTGATGAGGAAGCTTACAAGTTTGTAACAGGGTTAGCATAGTTTTCTCATAATGAGAAAAATAACCAAGCAGAGAGGCTAGATACTGCTTTTCTTTGATGGAGTTCCTACTTCAGGTGAGCAGTTTAACCAGTAACACTTCTTCACAAGATTGTTTGCATTTCTAATCCAAAGTTAAACTCTGCATTTCAGCATTTGACTCAATGTGTTTTACAGGTTGAACCTATGGAGTTGGATAAGTAAGCAACACTGAATTCAATGGAGCTGAATTCAAGTGAGGTTAGAGGGAAACAGGTAGAGGGCTTTCTCAGTAGTCGTGTCTGTCCTTTGGAATGCCCTCCCATCAGATGTAAAGGAAATAAACAACTACCCAGTATTTGACTTTTAGAAGACATCCGAAAGCAGCCCTGTATAGGGAAGTTTTCAATGTTTGATGTCTTACTGTGTTTTTATTTGTAGGAAGCTTCCCATACTGCCTGGGGTAATCCAGTTAGATGGGCAACATATACCGTAAATAATAAATAATAAAATTGTAGAATTGTAGAGTTGGAAGGGACCCCAAGAGTCATCTAGTCCACCCCCTACAATGCAGGAATCTCAGATAAAGCATCCACGACAGATGGCCATCCGACCTCTGCTTAAAAACCTCCTGAGGGAGACCATTACACTAACCAAGAGCTCTTACTGTCAGAAAGTTTTTTCGTATGTTTAGTCAGAATCTCCTTTCTTATAACTTGAAGCCATTGCCTCGAGTCCTACCCTCCAGAGAAGAGAAAACAAGCTTGTTCCCTTTCCCATGTGACAGCCCTTGAGATATTTGAAGATGGCTACCATATCTCCTCTCAGTCTCCTCTTTTCCAGGTTAAACATGTCCAGCTCCAACCGTTCCTCATAAGGCTTGTTTTAAAAACCCTTCAACATCTTGGTTGCCCTCTTCTGCACACATTCTAGCTTGTTAACATCCTTCTTAAATTGAAGGATGCCCAGGATTGGACACAAGATTGCAGGTGTGGTCTGGCCAAGGCAGAGCAGAGTGGTACTATTACTGTACTTCCCTTGATCTGGACGCTATACTTCTGTTGATGCAGCCTAGAATAGCACTAACTTTTTTTGCTGCTGTATCACACTATTGACTCATGTTCAGCTTGTGGTCCACTAAGAACCTTAGTTCCTTTTCACATCTACTGCTAGTAAGCCAAGTGTTCCCCATCCTATATGTGTGCAACTGGTTCTTCCTGCCTAAGTGCAGAACCTTACATTTGTCCCTAATGAAATTCATGTTGTTACCTTGTGCCCAGCTCTCCAATCTACTAAGGTCCTTTTGAATTCTAATTCTGTCTTCTGTGGCATTAGCTATCCCTCTCAATTTGATGTCATCTGCAAATTGGATGAGCATCCCCTCAGTTCCTTCATCCAAGTCATTTATAAAGACGTTGAACAACAATGGGCCCAGGGCAGAACCCTGCAGCACCCCACTTGTCACTTTTCCCCAGGATGCTGAGGAACCCTTAATAGGTACTCTTTGGGTCCAGTCTGTCAATCAGCTACAAAGCCATCTAATAGTTAACTGACATTTTACCAGCTTCCTCACAAGCTTCCTCATCAGTTTCCTTACAAGAATATCACTTTGTCAAAAGCCTTACTGAAATCAAGATATACTATGTCCCTGATTCACCAAGTTTGTAATTCCATAAAAAAAAATGAGGTTCGTCTGGCATGACTTCTTTTTTTAGAAACCTATCCTGGGTCTTAGTAATCACATCATCCCTTTCTAAATGCTCACAGGCCAACTGTTGAATTATCTGTTCTAGGACCTTCCCTAGTACTGTTCTCAAGCTCACCGGTCAGTAGTTACCTGGATCTTTCCCCCCTTTTTGAAGATGGGG